TTTTTTTTTTTATTACGGATCGTAGGAAAACAGAGGCGTTTTTATTTTTTTTTTTTTGTACCATTGTTTAGCTGCAATAACTCGTTCGGAATGTATTTCGTGCAAATATTTGGAATCGAATGATAACGGCGCGATACAATAACGGGCGCCACCCTGTGTTGGTGGTGTGGCGAAAGGAAACGGTGTGGACACAAAGGATTTGCGGCTTTCGCCGTTACAGTAAATATTACTACTAATAATATTAGCTTTCGAGATAGGCCTACCGGTCTCGCGTCGATTTCTCGTCTACCTTGTGCAAGCACAACCGGTTTACCGATTTTACCGCCTTGCTTAGATCTCTCCACGGAATGGATGTTTGCGGTCCGTCGGCATGAAATGGTTGCAAAACAAGCGTTATTTATACGTATATATGAAAATCGATATCGTATGGTTTCGTTATTATATTGTCGATATTGCAGACGGGAGAGACGCGAGCGATTCTACTTTTTTTTTTTTTTTTTTTTTTTACAAACGCGTGTAAATCCTGCGCGTTTAATTTTAACGGATCGATGAAGAAAATTACACGAACACGAATAAATATTGCTGTGTACGAAGTTCAAGTTGAAGCAAGATAAAAGTGAAGCAAGATTAAATTGTCGCATATACGTTGTGCGCAAAGAATAGGGAAAATACGAACTTCGAATAAAAGTACGAGCAAAGAACGATTGAGAAAGATAATGACAAAAATTAAAAGGATATTTGGATTGTTTAAAATTATTTTATCATACGCGACGAATAGGAAAACGACAAATACGGGAAAGGATATAAGAACGATCTTTTTAAGGGGGGGAGGAAAAAAAACTATGTTTTATTCGAAAGTAAGAAGTAATTGGCGAGATATTTATAATTCGACGACAGAGCTGCTGTTGTTCGGTTTATGAAAATATTCAAACGAGATCCCGCCGACATGGTTGCCCAACTTTACAAACCATTCACAATGGTCGAGGAGGACAGGAAGCCACCTTCCAATAAACTTTCCATCCGTCGTGCTCGTTAGTGGATGTCCAATAACGTCCAATAACGGACATCCTCGGGCGATATATCGAGTTTGTGCGGCACGAATGTGTCTCCAGACCGAGATCCTCGAGAAGCAACGCTCCCGTGACTCGGGCGCGACCTACACGTTTTCAACATTGATCCCCCCAACCTTTGGCCCACGCTTTGCGCAACTTGATATCGCCGATCCAAACCGTCTACCAAAAGAGGAGGAGGAACGAGTGGTTCGTGCGCGCGTACCGACCCGTTTTGCCACCCCTTTGACGGATATCTGACGTGCACTTAACTTGAAACTCGCCGAGTGAAAAGAAAAAAAAAAAAAAAAGAAGTACCCACTCGAAATACGATGCACTTTCGTCGTTTCTACAAAAGACGACGCTTTAAGACCGGCTTTCTCCGTCCTTCTCTCTTTAACCCGTCCTCCCCTCTCTAACTGGCCCGTCCCCTCCTCAACAGTTTCGAAATATCATCTCAACGACGAATTCGTGGAGCGAGGTCACGGTCGCGGCGAAGCAAGCGCTATAAGTAAATACACGGAATATTCGGGTCTGACCCGATACAGTGTACGCTACTCATTTAAAGTAGTTTCAAGTTTACGAGTTCCGCGATGATACATCTTATATACAAATATATAAATGATAAAAGTATAGTGAAAATGCGTCGATGAATTTTTTCCACGTCTCGAAAAGGAAAAAGAAAAAAATGCACTCGAATAATCCGTATCTATTACAATTGACTTCCACTTCTCCTTAGCCTTACCTTCGAAACCTTAGCAAATTTCCAATCGAAGTAACATTATCCTTGATTTCAACGTGTTTGAAATTTTACTCTCCCTCCTCAACTCATCCCCTCCATTCCACACCATCCATCGAAGAAAGTACGCATTTCCGCGCCTCTCCGCGAAACTCTTTCGTGTTTCTCCCGCACAGACGATACAAGGAAAAATCCCCAGGCTCGGGTGACTGAAACCGTGTCTCTCTCTCTCTCCGTGTCGCAGATACGCCGGTGGTTCGTTGCCGACACTACCGCGGGATCTGGGGAATCGTTTTCTGGACATCGTGAAACTCGACGACTATCAAGAACCGTACCAGGCCCTCAAGTACGCGCCGTACTACAGCTACAGCACGGTCGTTATGGAGATGAAAGACATGATGCTGAACAACAAGGGCAGCAACATCAATCACTCAGGTATGCCGGTACACGGTCGCCTCGCGTTGTTTTGTACATACGTGCGCGCCTACCACCCGTATATATACATATATATACGTGTGTGTGCGTGTGTGTGTATACACGCGTGTGTATAAATATACGGGTGGCACACGCTCGAAATCGGGGTACGTGTGTGCCGAACAACAAAGCATTCGCCTGACCGCAATCAATACACTGTCCCCCTGCACCCTCTTCTCTCGACCTCCCCCCCTCCCCTCCCCTTTCCTCCTTTGCTATATCATCCGCAGCGGTGTACGCGAATGGTGCAGTTGACACATCGTACGATTATGCGGTACCGGAACTCGGCACGGTGCCCCTGCTCAACCAGGACGGAACAGGACGCGGCCCACCCCCGCCGCCTCCACCGCCGCCACTGACCAGGACACCATCTTCTCCAAGACGTCGTCGCGCGGTAACAAGACGGAGAACAAGAAGGTACGTGTATATTTATATGTATATACGAGATAAGTAATACGAGATAAGTAAGTAAGTCGTGATTCGCGATCGAGGAAGCGTATGTGTAAATTGATGTAAACGTTTAACGTAGCATTGGATCGCGTCCTATGATGAAATCGGATCTTCGAGATCTTTATTCGATTCGAAGAAACGGGAGCCAAATTGGTTTTAATGATCTTTTTCTTCCAATTTTCAACTGGCACGTTGCGTTTTTTTCTTTTTAAAATTTCGTCGTCTCAATACGCGATTACGATATTTTATTTTTTAAAAGCAGTTAATAAGTAGGTCGGTGACTCTATATCTATTTGAGATTTCATATTTCGATTCGGTTAATCTTTGAGTTAGAGTTTGGTTTGCGACGTATACGGTTGTTGGCAGTAAGATGATGCTGTGTTGTGGTATCTCCTCCGTTTTAGAAAAGAACGATAAATTATTGACCTTAGAGATCACGTAACGTACAGTTAACGAATTATTTTCGGCATTTGTTCAGGATTTTTTTTCATTAACATCCAATCGTTGTCGAGATCGTGTACGATTTTCGATTGTGCGGTATCCGTTTCTCGTCACAGGTTATATAATTCTAGTTGAAAAATGAACTTCTACCGGTTTATGCGATAAGCACACTTCCAAACGTGGCAATTTTTGATCCTCCGCCAGTTGACGCGCTATCCATTTCCCCAATTTTTACCCATTGCAGCGAAATGTCTGAAAACTGTCATTGGAGATACGCGATAAATCTGCATCCGCTTTCAATTTATCTTTGTTCAATATGGATTTCGGGACTTATTTTCAAATTCTCATTTCCAGACCCGAATTTTTGAGTCCAACGAAGAATCCTCTCCATTGATAGAATCTTCTTCGAAAGTCACCTTAATTCGTGGTCCAGCTTAGACTCGCTTAGACACATTTTGGAATAACAAAATTCCAAATTCGTTCACTTCTCAAAACACAGTTAAACTGTGTTGAAAAAGAGAAGTTACCACACAAAGGAAAAATATAAGTTGAGTAACGAGTCGCAATAGATTTATTCTAAAATTGACAATTTCATTTTGATACAATCTGATATTGTGAAATGATAAAATTTGAATTAATAGCGAAAAATGATAATACGATTCGCGAATATATACAATATAAAATATATACAAAGTTTCGTGCACAATTTATACAACAAAATTCGTAGTAAATTCGTTGGGTAAATTGGAGCCTCCAGTTTCTAGGAGGAGAGGATTAAATTATTTATCCCCACTTGACACAGCGTTGCGGCAATAATAAGATTACGACGATTGTTATGCAACGTTTGCCGATTCGAGGCGTTTATATACACCGAGCCATAATTGTCCGTCAATTTTATTCGTTGCCGCGTTGTATTTTATTCGAAATTCAACGGGAGCGAAATTCAAAGTTTAGAAAGTTGAGAGTAAGACACGAGCCAGATTATCGTGATATTTATTAGCGCGGGGATAATCTGAGACGTAACGATATTTTCATAACGTGCGCTAACGACGAATGGGTCGGATCTTTGATATGCAAACTCTGATTCGATTTCGCGACGCGAAGGATACGAGGGGAGGGAGGGTGTGGCGAGCGTATCGAATAAAAGGGCGGATGGAAGGAAATAATCGTAACGTTTCGATCGGGGACAAGGTAAACGAGGTCGGAAAAATTCGACAGTGTCATCGCTCGATCTATAAATAAAATTGGGTTGAGGCCCCCGAACCCCGTAACGTTGTGTTTCCTGCAGTAACCATTAAACGTGCACTCCATTCGTCGGGGGAAAGTTCGCAATTAATAATTTAAATCAATATGGCGGAACGAGTGCAGACCATTTGGGGTGGATATACCTCCCGTGGGTACAGTATAACGTACCTCGTATCCGGAATACCGGAACGTGAGGGTGGATGAGGAGAGGGCGAGGGGAGAGAGGAGGGGAAAAAAACGGAGCAGGTACGCACCGTCGACGTCAAACGCGCGAGACGTTCCCCAGGGTTCCCTTTTGGCATAAAAAAATCAACGATTCGCGAGTAAAGGTCAATATGAAAGCTTTCGATCGATAACTACGCCTAGCTTTCCACGGAATCGGCTGATAATGATAAATTCGAGCTCGTAGAATTCGTAGAATTTCGTCTATAAATAAAATGCGTTCAATGATTACTTGCGGTTGAAAAGAATGCGGGTCTTATTTGCGCGAGAAGGAAGAGCGATAAGATCTGTCTGAAACGATGAGACGTGACAACGTGACTTTTCACAAATTAAATTGTTCTTCGTGAAATAGGATCCCTCGATTTTGAATATTCAAGAAGGAAACGCGTAATCTTCGTGAGCGTCTCGCGATTAAGAGGACAGGCTTTGTTCTACGCACGAATTCGATTTCTTTTCAACAGATGAACAATAATAAGAGTTGAAGGGTGATACGAACTCTCCAAAAAAAAAAAAGAGACGTATCGACTCGACATCTGACATCGAAGCTGATTAAATTTGTCCACACTGAATTATCCGTGGCAAAAACGTACGTAAAACGACTCGAAATTATCGACGGAGCATCGAGGCAACGGGGGAAGGAGGCGTACAACAAGTAGAGAGAGAGAGAGAGAGGCTGGCAAACAAATAAAGTATCGCGCGTATTCAGCAACGTTTCCGCGCAATCTGCAGAATCATTCGATTGATCGGTTCGCCGACGTATAAACGAACTCCCGTCAACGCGGAGTTCGCGTCGAACCCTTTTTCGCGAGCGGCCCCTCGTGGAATGTATCATCATTACGCGGTCCGCTGGCTTCCGGGCCAGTTCGCTCTGTTAATTGCGGAGAGAAAGCGCGTCGTGTAATCACGTTTGCAATCCTATCTCTCCCGCCCTAATCCTTTCTCTCTCTTTCTCTCTCTCTTCCTCTCTCGTTCACTTTTGTTCCCGCACGCTCGCCCATCCCTCGATTTCCGCCGATTCGCGTGCCGACATCGCAGAAATATTACACGTAGAGGGAGAGAGGAGTAGGTTCGGCAAGCTGCGCCCTAAATCGCGATCTGATGGAATAAAAATACGCCGCTGCAAATTTGTAGCTGGGCCGTGATTTATTCGCGTACACCGCGTATTTCCCGGGAATACCGATGCTCTCTGTATCTCCCTGGATCCTTCCCCTCGATATCTTTTTCCCGGATCACGAAGAAGAAAAAGAAGAAGAAGGATCGATTCGAAATCGCATCGAGCGATTCTTGAAATAGCTCCTCCTTGAACAATTTCCTCAAACTTTACGCGAATGGAGATGACGGCCGAGTCTTGAACGTTTCGTGTGGATACTCAACGAAACGACAAATGGCGAAAGTTGCGTGGAATTCAAAGACGAGCCCGTTTACACCCGAATAGATATCGGGTGGGGGCGGACGATTTTGCGCGGCATCCAGATTGATCGGAGCACAATGCTCCGAAAGTGGTCGTCTACGTCGAGACGTCTGCGCGTGATTGACAGCCGACAGCGCCACTCGAAACAGTCAAAACATTTCGGGGTGGCTCGTCGAGCCTGGCCTTGACGCATCGTAGCGACGCCAATCATTGTCCCCGCGCGATCCGTCATTAGACCAAAACGGCCGTCCTCCGAAAACATCGGGGTTATCGGGTGGCTCGATGCAGTTTTACAATGGGACGTGTCGAATGTTATACCCGTCACGTTCGACTGATCCTTTCGTCGCGATCCCTTTTTCCTCTTTCTCTTTATCTCTCTTTTTATCTCTCTCTCTCTCTCTCTCTCTCTCTCTCTCTCTCCTTCCCCCCACCACTCGTTCATGTCATTTCGCATCGGTAACAATGCGCGTTTTAACGTGAATATAGAGAGAGGAGAGTATCGATGGTGAACGGGGTCGTATGATGAACGAGCGTTTATACGATTCGCGAAAATTATTCAAAATAGATTTTTCGACGATGGGGGAGTTGAAAGTTGGTTGGTTGGCTGGTTGGTTGGTTGGTCGAGAGTTGTGATTATCGATTATCGGTATATCGTGGATATTTTGATTGATATAGTTTTGGGTACGTCGGTTATATCGTTTAAGATATCGTATGACGTAATAGAGATAATTATAATTGGTATTTTGCAGAATGGTGCAAGTGCAAGGAAATTAAAAATTAGTAATCAATTATTTTGCAATTGTCTTATTACCTGTACTACGCTATTTCTACTTATTCTACTTGTGTTATTATTAAAAAAAAAAAGAACCAAAGTAAATAGACTTTGTTAAAAACTGTCTTCGGTAATTTTTTTTCGAAGATATATCTCGAAAAAATTTCGTGAAATATATATATCGATACATCTCCAATAACAATTTTGAATAATATGTTCGTCCATATATCTCACCGATATCGCATTAAGTTTTTAGAAAATAATCGGCCGGATGGTATCGACGACTTTAATTTATAGACTCAATTTTACCACTTAAATTATCGTTTAAGTCTGCCCGTGGTAACTCGAACGATGGCAATTCATCGATCGTACCAGGAATAATTCACCTCCATCCTCTTGAAACCCACCTCGTCCTCCCCTCGTTCTCCCGTGTTAGCGTGATCATAGATCGTTGATTATCGAACCGATACCGATCGAACGATGCATTGTTCTTTCCTTGTTCCAGTCGCCGACTCAACAGGAGGTGCTCTCGGCCCTGAAGAGACGTCTGGAGCAGACGAGCGTCCCGCTCTTCCCACGGCATCGCCTCCGCATGCTCTCGAAACTCGCCGAAGGGGCCTTCGGAACGGTAACGACATTGTTATTACGTCCGCGCGCGTATCCTATTTTAAATTAGACACGCGAGACGGGATTCGTCACGTTCTATCCCCGTCTATGAACGATTATCCCCGTGTTCAGGTTTATTATCGTTTTTGGAGCAACTAGAGGCTGCTGTTGCCCCGCGTACTCTCGTTTCCATTCTCCAGATTTTCCACTCTCTTGATCGGTTGGTCGAACTTCCGCGTTGAATGGTGATCGTCGATCGAGCGAATCGAGTCGATTTAAAATAAAAGAACGTACGTTGCGTACGTGATGTTTCGTTTTTCTAAATGCGATCCTAAAAAGATTGGATTACATTTCTCATCATTAAGAAGGGAAGTTTCGAGTTAAATTCTTTACACTTCTAACTTCTCCTCCTTTCGTTTTAAAACCGAGCCCGAGCAACATCTTTACTTACGTTCATTTGAAATTTCCACTGTAAAGTTTTCTAATTTACCCTCCTGAGGCTTCGTAACGAAAATATAATTAAACCGGAGGAGGAGGTGGATCCGTTACAGCGAAACCGAATAAAAGAGACAACAGTCTATCGTCTCCTATCCTCCTATCCTCGAATTCGACGAGTGAAAATTTTAAATGGAAACGATACAACGAGTGTTGAAAGACAGAACGGCAAGGAAAAAAAAAGAAATCTCTCCAAATAAGGAATGACAAGATATAAATTCAACGTTCTCCCGATTTTAACCTCCCATCAATCAATCGCGAAATTACCGATCTCCTCCCGTCTTCCAACGCTGTGCAGCACCCTCCACGTCATCGAGGGAGCATTGTAACGTCAAACCGTGCCTCTCCACGCGATTCCCGCAACATTATCATAATACACTCGGTGTTTGCAAAGTGTCGCTTTACCCCCGGCTAATGCGGACCAACGGAAACACCTACTGAAATAGCATCGAGCCGCGCGGGGGGTTAAATTACAAACGGCCGATATTGCGAACCGGACGATGCTCTGCCTCCACCCTGCCTCTTCTCTACCTGGCCACGATCGAATACGTGGCCCACGATTCCGCATCGATTCGGGAAACACACGCTCGATTTTGGTCATCAGAGAGAGAGAGAGAGAGAGAGGATAAACGAGCGAATGAGAAAGTGAATTAATGAGGAAGAGGGAGAGAGAAATCAATCCGTTTGTTGACCGGGAAAATTCGCCCACTGGCCCGACAATACGTCGATTAACGAAGTGTCCACCACCCTGTTATTCTTTGCCGATCACAATGGCGCCCTCGTCGAGAATTAATCGGTTTAGAATGCAGTTAGAGCGGCTAATAATTCCCTTTTGTTTCCTGTCCCGCGCCCGTTAATGACCAATGGACGCCGAGAGGACGGCCTCCTCCCTTCCCAGGGTTCGAGCTTCCCATCATTTCGCCTTCGAGATCTCGACAATCAATCTCGAGCACAGGATTAACTCATTCGTCGACCATGTTGCTGACGCTGTTCAAAATGCTCCTTCTCGATGTCGAAACACGCTCGACCAAGAGAATTGTGTCATTCCTTTTGTGTATACGGTTATGTTTACGACCTCGAAGCGACTATAAAATTAGCTAGAATTTCTAGCTACGTACATATCGAGTACGGTTGTCGAGTTCGCTGCTGGAAAGAAGTCTGTTGGGCATCTTGGATCGCTTAATGCGAGGGGGAACGCATTTTTAGCCTGGTATTTGTCACGTATACTAATCCTAATGTATCTAAACCTCGATGCATTAAATTCTAAAATATCAGAATTATAATTTGTATATACGATTAATTTAATTTATAAATGTAATTTCGTATTCAAATAGTTAAGATAGTAATTGCAATAAGTAATCTCATAAATGAAAATAATTTTTACCATCTTGAATATATTCAAATTGTAATTCTTCCACTACCAGTACAGTGTGTGTGAGACATCAGGATTGTCCCCTCTTATGACGCGTCCCACAAGCGACTTCTTTTCCAACAATGAAGGGCACACGATAAGGACGTTCCCTCGTCCGACTTCCGATCGGATCCACCTGTTCCACCATCGCGACTATGCATTGCACACGGCGTATATATCCTCGTTTAAAACTTACACGATAAATTCGACGAGTAATCAAATTCACGGATCCATCCATTCTCGTTAGAGGGAATTTACAACCGTAACGAGGATTTTTTACCCCCCGATTTTTATTGTAATAAAATAAACGCGGCGGCTCGGTTCCGATCCCGCCTCGTGGGAATTTTTCTCCCTAGATTCTTCCCCGTGAAGAAAAACGTAAACAAATTATGCCCATAAAGGTGTACGTGGCGGAAGCAGAGGGGATCCCGGAGTACGGAACGACGACCACCCTGGGCAAGCGTCTCGTCGCCGTCAAATTTTTACTGCCGGAAGCCAGCGAGAAAGAAAAGTGAGTATGGCGGAGGCGGCGCGCCCGCCCCTTATTTGCATTCCGTTTCGACGTTGCAACGTCCCCTCCCCCCCGATAAACATTTTACGACCGAAAGAAGGAAGGAGAGAGGGAAGGAAGGAAGGAAGGAAGGAAGGAAGTTACGCGGTTACGCGGCACGTGATTTCACGCAAGATTCGTTTCGGTAAACCTTTTTTTCTCTCCAACGATCGACCGTTTTGTGAAGAGGGGGGCGAAGAGGGGAAGCTTGGCGAGATCCATCTTTTTTTTGGTTCTATTTTGATCGCAACGTTGTCGCGCTATATAATATATAAAATTTGTCTGAATTAATTCGAACGATGACACGTAACCAAGTGTCTCCTTTTTTTCTTCCTCCATTCGATTCGAAGAAATCCTCGCGAAAAGATGGCGAGTATCCGCGCACGTGCGAATAACGCGCGCGCTTAAATCACTCGGGGGAGCTCGAAATAACGCGAATAATTCGAATAGCTCGCAGCTATCTATCTTTATATCGCGGATGATTCACGGAACGGTAAAAAGAATTTCGTTATATTAAAATTTCCATAAAAATGTCGAGCCGATACCCTCCTCCTACTAAATAACCGTTACTTATCCTCCTCCTATCCTATGTAAGGAAGAGAGACGCGTTTCCAACTATTTTTCACGTAAACGAAACGAAACAACTATTCTCCGATGAAAACGCCAATAAAAACGACGAGAGAGAGAGAGAGAGAGAGAGAGAGAGAGAGAGAGAGAAGAAGAAAG